GTCAACACTATGTTCAATAAATCTTTTTTTCCCCTCGAGTTGGAAACACAAATGGTATTACACACACGCGTCAGTTTGCAATATCTAACCCGACCACACCAAATCAGAATAACCTTTGTTACGTCAGCGTGGGCCTAAAATGTATTTTGTGTAGGTTGCCGAATGCCAATGGAAGCAATATCCCCTGATGATAGTAAGCCTAGACAGAAAAAAATAAAAGAAATCGACTTTACAGATGAGACTACAAGAGTTGGTCTAATATTATGTACTAAAAAGACCGTAGGTCACTATTGATTAGCAGAGATATGTATGTTTATCAGCAAAGACTACACGCGTATCCACTAGCTTGTAAAGTTGAGAGAGTGACCAATTTTTTATATTGTCCCATTTTAAAAGGTGGATCGGTTTCCCCCCACCCCCTCCCATCTAGGACATTTTGCACGACATCTTTACTATCAACTCAGAACTTATTAATTAATTAATTTTAATGTAAGGCAGACTGAAGGAGAGGCTTCTCTAAAGACATCAATAAGTAGCACATTTAATTATATTAGTAACAAATTACATAATATGGTAAATCTAACAATTTACTATAGCACTAGATGTTCGTACTTAATTCTACTACTGAGCACAACAGCCTTACATATAGACCTACTGCCTGTCGATCAGCCCTAATTCCTGAACGACTTAGCGATAGTGATTACAAAGATTGACAATTAATTAACCTACATAAACCAAATGTATTTCAAGCCGACAACTAAACTCGCCCACTCGGGCAAATAGCTCGAGTTCTAGGAGAAAGATCGCAGAATCACCCAAACTCATCCAGTGTTTACGTTACTAGATAGAAGTATTTTCTTTAGTCTAAACTCACAGCAGTCAAATGCGGTCATCATGCCATTTAGAAGTGTAACACTTCAGCAGAATACGCTTGTTAATTAAGAGCGAAATTATGAGAGTGGGGGTGAAGGCGGTACACAGAGCTGCCTACACACACACACAAATAACATTCCCAAACCAACAACAACAACACACACACATACACACGTATCGCCTACATAAGAAACTGTCCTCTGAGACTACGTTAAGAGGTGTAAAGAGCAAGCACTTGTCTCATAGATCTGGATCTTAATCCTAATCCCATTTGTGTCTCCGTTATTGCTGGTCCACTTGTGAATTGGTCGCCCATAGAGCCAGCAGCCGTGAGAAGAACAGCCCACGCGTTTTTAGAGCTTGTACGATATTTTAGATCTAGAGATTTTGTTGACAAATCGAAGTCATCTTCTGGCCACTCCCACGTTTTGTTGACTGTAATCTTTGTCACAGAAAGCCATTCCATTAATTGGTTTTCATTCCGTGACTGGGTATTGGGAATGCATTTCTTCTGGTCAGTGCGGTTTTCTCATTATCTCTGGCACTGATGACCTGCTGATGGCGGAGTCCTTCTGTTCCAGCCCCACCTTCATCTCCTCTCCCGTCAGTTTAATGTACCGACACCTGAGTATATTTTTTTAACCTAATTAATGTCACGCATCACAACGTCCCTGACACTGTCCAGAGCTGGCCATTTTTTTCTGAGTGATATGTTGCACTGATAACCTAATATCAGTCAGAGATCAGAAAGTGCGCGTTTGTTTGCTTGTCCTTGATATCATGATATGAGCTCTCTTTTAATAAGTGAATCAGATTTAGAGCCTTAGACTTAGGGCCTTTATATATATACATAAAATCTTATTACATAAACTGCAACCCCGTGACTGAATCTGCCACCGAGACTGGAGTATCGCTTACGTCTCCTACGTACGAAATAAGTTGACCATACTGGGCTGTAGAGGGCTATTTTTTTTTTTTTTAACTAGCATCAAAATTTAAATTTCCAAGAAATAAAAAAGATAACATATAGATCTAGAAAGATAAAGTTGATGAAGAAATCAATATGTCTCTACTAAGTCAAGGTCATTCCAAAGTAGGCCAGTTAACAATACCAATCGGGAGATTTGTAAGCATTAGGATGGTCATCTGGTAAATTATAGAGGTTTGGGGGTCAATAGAGAAACCACTGCTATTCGACTTGTTTTATTATCATAATGCTTGTACAAATATGCATACAAAATATTATATCTATTTTTAGTAATTATTTAGATATTAGCTCTTTAATGTGTTGGTACTGACAGAAAGGTCACCTATTAAGGTTGTGCTGCCGAGTCGCTGATTCATGCCCTGGCTTATATTTGTATGATAGTTCTATTTACCATAATTTGTGCTTTGTTGGCTATTCATTGTAAGAAATCTGCAAATTTATTTCATTCAACATGTACAAGCAGTGAGGCCTAAAATACGATCTGACAAAATTGCACGATCTCTTTATATACCAGTGTATATATATATATATATATAATTTAGATTTAGTTTAAATTTTAAGGTATAATTATTCAATAACTAGAAAAAAAAAGTTTTTTTTGGGCACAAGTTTATGCAAGGGAGATTACAATGAGATTGGTTTGTGCATGACAAAAACGTCTACTTCCCTTTTTTTTAAACGCAATAAACTTAATCTTTCACGAAATTGGACTTACAATTTGTACATTACTATAACAAACCATTATAACGATATCATATGACATATACATTCCTACCTGATTTTTTTTGTTAATTTTAAAACTTTTGAAAAATGTTTTTCTCAAATAGGTGTCCAAGTGGTGTTTGTTTGCAATGTACTAGCTTATTATGGCCCATCTTACCAGACTAAAGCGCCTCCAAAGTCTTCCGATGGTTCCACTATATTAACTAGCAAAGCGGATAAAGTAAATCAGTGGACAGAACACTACTTGGTGACAAAAGGTAGGTATCGGAGGAATCGCTGGCAAATATGGCAACGATACAAAGCACCTGGCTCTGATGGACTTCCGGCTAAAATATTTCAAATGAGAGGTGTCGCGCTAACCGAGAGGCCAACAGAAGGAGAGAAGTGCGTGGTCCCATCTGAACTTCGAGATGACGTTATCATATCCCTATACAAAAAGGGTGACAAGTCTAACTGCTCCAACTATCGAGGCATTACACTTGTCAGTAGCAGGAAAGATCTTTGCTCGAGTCTTGCTTGACTGACTAACCCACTCTTTAGTGGACGGGGTGCTATCTGACAGACAATGTTGGCTGGTAGAGGTACTTAAACATTTTGCGACAATTACAAGAAAAATGCAAAGAGCAGAACTTAAAAAAATATACCTGCCTTTCGACACGGTCAGTCGCGATGGCCTATGAATGATTCTGACTAGGCTCTGATGCCCACCTACGTTCCTATCCATTCTCAAGCAGTTTCATTTGGGACAATAATGCCAGATGAGACACAATGGCGACTTGTCTGATCACCTACTAATAGAAAATGGCACAAAGCAGGGCTGTGTACTTTCTCCTACTGTATTCGCTCTCTTCTTTGGCGTAATGCCGGGTCAAATGAGACAGCGATTGCATGAAGGCATCTACGTCAGACGGCAATGTGTTTATTTTTAATTATCCCATACAAAAAAAAATATAGAAATTGTCATGACAGAGCTTCTCTATGCAGATGATTGCTAGCTCACAAGGAACATGATCTCCAGATCGCGGTCAACGAATTTGCATACGCCGCCGCCTCTCGTTTATTTATAAACATCTGGAAAACAGAAGTCACCCAATAATACCTACTCATCCCTAGATCATTGGCGTAGCTTCCATGGTGCGAAGGGGTTCAATGAACTCGGGCCAAAAGCCTGTGGAGTAGAAACAAAGGGGTCCATCGCGCTAGGGCCCATGACTCTTGTAACTAGTGGGGGCCCACGTGAGAACTTACAGATGATACTTTAAGAATTAATTTTCGACACAGCTGCTAATTATCAATTTTCTCCAAACTCCACAACCTGTTTCTCTTTTTTCTGTATTTAAAATGTGTCAGCTCTTTTTACATTTCTCCCTTTACTGGAAATTGAAACTGAGTCTGAAATCTGATTTTCTCCTGTAACAAAACTGAACAGTTGAGATTCTAAAACTCTTGTTTTCGAGCCAATGAATTAGATACTTAAAAATTGTGTCAAACACTCATTTAGGACGACAGCGTCCTTGTAAGTCTTCACCACATTGTTTTGATTTCTTTATTGTGTAAAAAAAAATGTTAATGTAATCATTAGAACAAAAAAAAAAAAAAAAAAAAAGAAATCTCAACCAATAAAAAAAAAATTACCCGGTACATTACTATTTAGCAAGCAAACGAAGCAGCATAGTATGTTTCATGTCTCGTTAAAGTTGAATGTTTTTGGTGTTACAATGAATGGCGTAACTAAAGTGGGGAGCAGATTTATAGCCTAACAAAGATCTAGATTCTAGAAGATAGGTGTCCAAATTGATCGTGGAATAGTGTCTTTCTCTGACCAATGCTTAGTATTTGGTTCATAGTTCTTAAAAAATGTTAACACCATTACATTTAAACAAAAACATTAGCATGGAATAGTGTCTTTCGGAAATGAATGTATGTGCATTAGCTATGGTTGGAACGATGTCGCCCACACATCAGTTTCCCCCTCTCCACACAGCTGATCTGATACTTTATTATTAATGTTTAACAATTTACAATATGTTAGTATTGTAAAATTGTATATATATACATATGCAAGGTGGTCATCAAGGGACATGCTAGCAACAAGATTCATATATTTTGTGTACCGGTACTAAAGCTGTTAACACAAAAATTACTTAAAACACTTGGTAGCTGCAGCACTTAGAGGATAATTAGAATCATTCGATAACATTGTTCTGCTTATTGTTGAGCACAAAATTTAAAGTGCAGTCAGCATTGCTATATGAATTATGGAAAGTGAGCAGCAAGATCTTTATTAAGATCTAAGTAATGGTATGCCTATTGGCAAATGTACTCAATTGTTTTGTCTCATTCAGCCCCCCCCCCCCCCAAAGAAGACAACAGGTATGTGTATATCATGCCTAGAAAGAAAAAAAGTTTAACCAATCTTGATAAAACCATAATCAAACAGCACTTTATGTTCAAATATGGTTGTACTTTTATTATTAATAAACTGGGTACATAAGCCTCTGGAGCCTTTTCTTAACTCATAGCATACCCATGTTTCAGTGATTGGGACATGCATACATTTCAAAACAAATTGATTTAAAACAAAAAACAGAGGACAAAAGTAAAAGAACAAATAACATTCACAATACAACTTTTATTTAGAACAAGTTATGCAGCATCTGCAATGGTGACTTCAACTTCCACACCAGGTTCAATAGAAATGGAAGTCTGTGGCATCAGTTAAGAATCATAAATGTGAAAAGCAAAAAAAAATAAAAAATCCCCTGATTTGATTTTAGGCACATCGGCACAATTTAGGCCATGTAGTGCCTGCAGTCCCTTAAGGACTACTCTCTCTCTCTAAACAACAAGGACCGAATTCTATACAGTCACCCGATGATAAATTGCTTTTTTGCATACTGGTACCTTCATAAACATTGTTTCTCAGTTTTAAAAAGTTAAAATACTATATTAAGTTATAAAAGGATACAATTTGCTTGACAATTTCAGATGGACTGTGCAAATCAATGATACGTTTGTGAATTCTCATTTGGTATCTGTCCCAGGTCTTTGAACCCTCACCACAAGGAGTCTTACGAGTAGTGATACGCAGTACTTTGGTTGGCATGCGCACTGGGCCCTTTACTTTCAGATTCTTCTCTTTGGCTCCCTTGATAAGATCAGCACACACTAGTAAAGAAGGAGAAAGCAATTATAAATCACTAGCATTGAACAGTTGTATGGTTTCGTTCTTTGAAAAGAAAAAACATCTACCTGTCCAGAAAAATTTGTTTCACAGAACTCTACAATGAAATTTAATACTGATATGATAATTTGTTTTGCATCACTGGCACAGCAACAGAATACAAAATTCAAAGTGCTATTATTGTAACCAATACCAATTTTTATGACAACTGAGATAACTATCTGTGCCCACTGCTTTTTATTACGCAAAATTTCTAGAAGAATTATGTAAATTGATTTAAATCCTCTATTCTACCAGGTTAGCCATATATAATTATAGTCATAAACCAAGCTTATCTAAAGGGAAGAACTCCACATTTATAGCCACATATCTCAAATATCTCCCTTTTCAATATCAAACAAAATTAGATAATTGCCACTATTTAATTGACTAATGGTTACAGTTTTAAAAATTCATTCATACTTTCTTAGGAACAATTAATAATTGTGCAAAGTTTCAACTTGATCAGAGATTGGAAAGTTGGAGAAATAATGTGAATCAGACAAATATACACATTTGTAAAAAGAAATACAAACCTTTTTCCAAACTTTTAACAACTCTACTTGTGAGAGTGATGCGAATTCTGTGTATGGGAGCTTCTTCACCAGAAGTTTTCAAAGCACTATCTTTAGTGTAGTTTGTTGAAGTCTGTAACAAATAATGAAATTAGAAAAACTTTCAACTTAGACTGAGATGAACAGTCGTATTAAAAGAAATAATGAAACAAAAATTTGTAGGAAAAAAATGAAACATGCGCAAATATTACCAGTACCACACAGACTTGAAGTTTAAAACCTAGTTGAAGTCATTTTATCTATTGTAGATCTAGATCTAATCCGTCTTAAATCTAGATCTGGATTCTACCTCCAGATCAATATTATAATCCAAAATCTAATATAAAACATGAAAGGAACAAAATTCTGTCTCAGTTCTCAACTCAAGAGTCAACTGTGAATGCATTTGTAAATTATTTTTTTCCTAGGTACGCGAGTAGGTTTAGACTTCACTAGACATATACAGTCTAAATCAGAACTATTTTAGATCTAAAATTCTATATCTAGGTGACTTCCATGAAGAATGTGGTTCATTCTAATAAATCATGCTTAAAGGGGATTAAGTGCATGTACTGTAAAGTGTCGCAGGTTGTGAGATGAAACTGGTTCATTTAGGTCAGTTCTCAACTCAAGAGTCAACTGTGAACGCACTTGTGAAATTATTTTTTTTACTAGGTACGCGAGTAGGTCTAGACTACTCTAGACATTTACAGTCTATATCAGAACTATTTTTAGATCTAAAATTCTATATCTTTGTGACTTCCATAAAGAATGTGGTTCATTCTAATAAATCATGCTTAAAGGGTATAAATCAGGATTTCTAGGCTATTCTGTCTCGTAAATTTAGCACCCCTGGATGCCTAATGCAGTACATTCAAATCTTAGCCTAAGGTTAAATACGCAAGCCATGTAATTTTGGTTATATGTCTAGAAATTTATCTAGGTATCTAGAATTATAATAATCTACATTTAGAATTTAGTCCTAGATAGGCCATCCAGTATCGCAGAAAAAAAAAGATTATATATTAAATTTAAAACAGTTTTATAGCTCATCTATAGTCAATTCTATATTATAGTTCTTTTTTTTTCTTCTCCAGTATTGACAATTGCAGTGGATTTTCATTGAAAATAACCACATATTTTGGTTCAATCAAATCTTTCACATCATTGATGATGCCAATAGACATGAATAGTTGGTAACATGACTAGGCCCAGCCAATCCTCTTGTCCCCACTGGTTATAAAAATGTGTCAAATAAATTATTCTTTAGTTGTTTATTTAAGTTTATTAATAAATTTAGCCATAGAGACAATTATGTTGATTGAGTACTGGTATTTAACTATAAATTTTTAGTCATTTTGTTATTAGGACATTAGAATTAGATCAAATTATCGCTGGGAAAAGGGGATAGTCATGAGCATATTTTTCTTATTTAAAATACTATTACATATAATGTTAAAACAAAAATCACAGGAATATTAATTTTAGTGTATCTTAAAATGGTGATATAAATTCACAGTGACAATGTTGAATGTAAAACAAGACAAAATGTTTTGTATTATTTCTTGAGTGATATAATTGTGTGCTTTATTTGATATTTAAGTGTTTTTGTTATTCAAGGATAGCTGGAGCATATTGAGTATTAATTGTTCTTTTTACATAACCACTAGCGAGCCAAGCAATAAAAAGAACCTGATCTAAATTTAAGCCATTTAAGCCATAACTATAACTAAGCATAATCTTAAGAATTTAAGTTCAAAGTTGCCTAAACAGACTTAGAAAGTTAAATCTAGATTTAACATGAGTGTCAAAAGCCTAGCCTAGGCTAGTAGGCAAGTCAAGTGAGGCCACAGCCAGGGAAGGCTTACAAATCAGATCGAGACAAGTCAGCTGTCATCATTTGAGTCAATTAAGAGATGCAGTTTTGAGTCAACTGTCATTAAGTAAATATGTGAAAATCCGTAAGTCCTGAAGTAAAAAAAATGGCGTCAAATTTTGAGTTCCGTTTTTCTTACTTTCTGTTCATAGGCCCTTGATAGAAATCGATTATGATTTTAAATCCATTGAAATCGTTGCTAAAATGGGTGAATATGGATACATTTTATTTTGAGGAACATTTTTTTCATGTGGAATTTTTAAAAAATGTGTATTTTTTACTTTTTTTAAACTTGAAAGTATACATATTTTTATTTTTACTGATACTCATTTCAGGTTATGATTTAAAACTTGATTTTTTTTGGTGCTAATAAAATATATATCTGGCCATATTTCTGCCAAGTTTTATCATATACCTTCCCCGCTTTAATTGTTATCGATGATAATGTTGATGCATAAATTTGCACTGCTCCCTATGGGATTTTAATTTTTTTGAAAACTAAACTATTTTAAGAATAAAATCATGCATAGGCTAGTAGATATAGCAATAATGTATAGGTCTAAATAGATTTTAAAGAGTTTTTTAAACCGCTTCTATTTTTTTTTTTAAAGCGCATTTGAAAAAAATTGTTAAAGGCGATTTTGATCCCACTTTTTAAATATTTTTTTTAATTTCTCCCATCACAACGCCGCCATTGTCCACACCCCTCAGACACTTCTTTTAGCTCTAGACCCGATAATTTATTTTATCAATTTTTACACTCTAAACAAGTGAAGTTCATAATTATAAATGAAATAAGATTTGTGAGCTATAAATTTACTTATAATATAATACTAGATCTACTATTAAATTTCTTATTCTCAATGCCAACTTTTTAACTTTTTGAGCGGGGGGTGTGTCTCACTGGCTGAGCCAGCCAGACGCTCTAATCAAGTCTAATCTTCATTGTTCCATGTCAACCAATGTTAAGTCAAAACGCCACAAAAAAATCATAACTTTGTAACTGTTTAACTTACATTCATAATTTATACACCTATGGAAAGTTCTTTCAAAGTATTTTAATGATGTACTAACGAAAAATTGTTTTTTCAAAGATAATTTTTTATTTCACATCCCTACATTAAGTTTTAATGTGCTTGTGACAGTTTCAAGTTTGACTTTTTAATAATCATACATTGTCACATGATAGTAGTCAGATAGTCACCGTGGTGTAACATAGATCTAGACGTCACTAGACTGACTAGTCTGATACTAATGACTAAGTCAAGTAAGTCTAACTAGTCTAAGTCTAATGAAAAATGTCACTAATTAAATATGTGAAAATCCGTAAAACCGGAAGTAAAAAAAATGACGTCAAAACTTTAGATTAGTTTTTCTAATTTTCTGTACATAGGCCCTTGATTGAAATCGATTATGATTTTAAATCCATTGAAATCGTTGCCATTTCAGGTAAGTCCCAAGAATTTGATTTTTTTCCCCGTAATAGATTATATATCTGGCCATATTTCTGCCAAGTTTTATCACAATACATTGCTTTGATCGATTACAATGTTGAAACATAAGTTTGCACTGCTCCATAGGGGATTTTGTTTTTTCTTGAAAACTAAACTATCCAATGAACAAAATTATGCATAGGCTAGTAGATATAATAATTATGCATGTGTCTAAATAGTTTTAAAAGAGTTTTAATGGTTTAATCTATTTTATTTATAATTTTAAAGCCAATTAGAAAAATAATTGTTTCAGACGATTTGATCCCACTTTTTAGATATTTTGTTATTTTCTGCCATCACAAAGACGCCATTTTGTCCACACCCCTGTCATTTCTTGTAACTCTAGACCGGATAATTTGTTTATTTCATCAATATTTTCATTCTAAACAAGTGGAGTTCATAAATATAAATGAAATCACATTTGTGAGCTAGAAAATTTCTACGAATACTAGGTCTACAATTAAATTTCGTATTTAATAAGTAGATTTATCCTCT